GGTAGTCACCCTGAGGTTGCTGCTTGTTGGACCCAGATGCAGGTGAGGGGCTCTCTGGGCGGCTGATGGCAGCCTCCGGGGAGGGAGGGGCCAACAAGAGAGACCCCCCTCCGCCCAGTGAAGCCTCCTGCCCTGATGGGGTGGCGCAGGTTTGCCAGGCCCACTCCCCTCCGTCGGGTGCTGCCTCGGCGGTAGGCATGTGTCCAGCCTGGCCGGGGACTGTCTCTCAGCCCCACCCCCACCCCACCCCTCCGCACCTCCCTCCTGCCCTCTGGAACTCTTCCTCTTCCCACTCCCCACTGCCTGGGGTCCTCCCACCCACCCCCACCACAGGGCCAGGCACCTAAAATGCCCACTTGGAGGAAAGGGTCAGGCCCTGCTGTGGGCGAGCAGGCAGGGACCCACCAGGTGATTCCAGGAACATTTCCTTGAGTCCGAGTGGGAGCCTGACCCCGGGCAGCGTGACCCTCCCATCCAGCCACTCCTGAATCAGTCTTCCCCACAGCCCCTCCCGGCCTTGACCCCCAGGTCCCTGGGCCATGGACATGACGTTTTGTCCACTCAGCCACACAATGGGCTGTGGGCTTCGGTCACAGTGCGAGGTGGGGCCTGGTGGGTGGGGGCTGGCAGGGCAGAGCTTGGGGCCTGCATGCCTGTGGCTCCTGGTGGGGGTGAGTAGAGGCAGGATCTGAGGGGAGAGGGTCACTGTGTCCAGGGCGCTCCTGACCACACCGCCCTGGGCCCCTTGGGAGACTCCTGCTGTGAGAAAATGCCCGAAGGTACAGAAGCCGACTTAGGCCTTTGATTAGGGGCAGTTAACGGGGCCAAGCCTGGGGAGAGGCCTTGCCTTCCTCTCCTGGGGAATGCCACACCTGACCCAGGTGGGCCCAGAGAGCCAGGCTCAATCCGGCAGGGGGCCAGTGGAGAGGGGCCAGGCCACCCTCTCACAAAGGGGGGTGGGGCGGAGGGCTCCAAAACTGGGCTGAGAAGCAGAACCAATCCAGGACCTGCGAGCTTCCTGCCCATTATCAGAGCCAGACAACAGCTCCTTCCGGAACCTTCTGGGGGCACCTTCTGGGGACCCTTGTCCAGTCCCCCGGCCCCAGGGGCAACTCAGACCTACCTCAGGGATCCCACCCCATTACTGAGCCCAGAACTGAGAATGGCCCACGCAGGGCTCCCTTCCTGGGATCTTGGGGCCTGCAGGGTCCAGGGGTGGAGGGGCTGCCCAGGTGGGGGAGGGGGGAAGGGAGAAAGGTAGGCGGGCCCAGCCCAAGTGGGCTCAGGTGGTTGGGGGAGGGCCAGGCAGGCACAGGGTGGGGCTGGGGTCCAACAAGGGGGGCGGTTAGAGTCAGGGTGGGCCCAGGCACTCGGCCTAGGCGGAGGGCAGGGGTCTGGGCTGGGGGTGAGGGTCTCACCACCCCCCAGACGTGGACAATCGCTCGCTTGTTCGCACAGCTCCGCGCCCCAAGCGGGCCAGCCTCTTATCTAGAGGTTACTAAACAAGCCGCCCGCTTATCTGCCTGGAGTTTGCTCAGCCCGCCGAGCCCCGGAGGTGCCACCAAGGGAACCGTCTTGGGGGCCCAGCATGGCGGTGGACAGGACAGGGTAGTCCAGTCTGGACGTAGCAGGCTCAGTGGGAGGCCCGGAACGCGGGCCACCTCAGATTTCCAGGGAATCCCAAAGCAGCACCGGCCGCCTCCTTGGCCTCCTGGCCACATCTGGGGCCCACAAGCTACTGGGGTCTCCCGGTTCTGGGACAATGCCAGGGCCTCCAATATGGGAACCCCCTGCCTGCCACAAACCCACTCAGGCCGTACCTGGGAGGCCTCCAGGGGAGCTGGGCAGGGGCTCCAGACAGCCCCCCACCCACACTGCCCATCATACTCCCAGCACTTTGCAAAGGCGGGGTCTTTGTAATGTTACATCTGAGAGGACAACGGCCCTTCACCCAGGACAGAGACACAGCAGCACCCCAGGTGGCGTCAATGACAGGGCCCACACCGGGCCTTGGGGCCCGGCTCAGCACCCTGCCCTCCCCAGCACAGCCTTCACACCACCCTCCCAGCAAAGCCCCCCACCTGCCTGCCCAGCAAGGCCTCCCATGCCGCCCTGCCCCACATGGCCCCTCTGCGCTGGAACACGCAGCCTGAAGCTAGTCACACAGGAGGTCCCCGTGGCCATGTGCCCTTCCAGCACCATGCACCCTGACATGCCCTGGGAACTCTGGGCCTCAGCCCGTTCCAAGTGCTGGGGACACAGCAGAGAACAAGGCTCCCTGTGCCCGGGAGCCCAAGCACCTGTTGGGGAGACAGGCACCATGGAGGGCTTGCTGAGTATCGTCATGTGTAGATAAGATGGGGGGCAGAAAGGGGGTGCTGAGGGACATCCAGGGACTCTACCGAGGTCCTGTGGTCGGCGTGCTATTGGGAGGTGGCTGATGACCCACGTGGCTGGGAGGGCGAGAGGGGAGGGGGCCATCCCCGGTAGGAGGCTGCGGTGGGCGCTGTCTCAGGCAGGTGGACCATAGGGGCAGCAGGGGCCCAGGCAGCAGTGGGGGCGAGGCCATTCCTGAGGTTTGATTGGTTGAATGGAATGTGGGCAAGGAGAGCGCAGTAGGGGCAACCCCAGGGGGCAGACTCCCTCCTCAGGCCCTGGACCCCCCTGGGGCTCAGCCACCTCATCTACTACGCACCCCCTGGGTTGCACGTGGCCCTGAGGGTGGCTCTATCGGCCAGTGACGGCCCAAGCCTGCCCCTCAGAGCAGACACCAGCGGCCGGAAGCACATTCCCTGGCCCTGTCTCTCCTCACCCTGCTTATCCTGTGGCTGAAAATGTCATCTGTAGGCAGGCACCGGGGTCCCAAGGACGACTTGCCCACTTGTCCCCCAGCATTTCCCCCAGGACCCACCAAACTGCCAGGACCTTGGCCAAGTCACCCCTTCCCTCACATCTTGAACTCCAGGGAACCCATGGAGAATGGGGACCCTCAAGGGAAGCCTGGCCAGAGGGTTGGACCAGCCTGAACGGCCACAGTGCCCCCGTCACTCGGTGTCACTGGCTCAGAGGCATGGCTCCCACCAAGGCGGGTCCAGCTCCGCCTCTTGACCTGTGCTGGGTGAGGGTCCCCATCTCCCAGGACTCTGTTCTCTCACAAGGGACCACCAAGGGTGCTCCTAAGAACGACTGAACACCTAGCGCAATGGGACGTTCTGGGTGCCTTCCCACCTGCATGGAGGCTCCCGTCAATTGAAGACAATTCCCAAACAAACTCAGTTCATGAGCAACAGGGAGGTGCCCATGCATCCTGCTTGGGGGGCTCTCCCCAGGCTGTGCAAGGTGGGGGGACAGCCCTGAGGCAGGTGTGCACCCCGCGGCACCACTCAGGGGTCCTGCGTCTGTGAGTCTCTCCCTCTGTGGACAGGATCTGCGGAAGGTGGGCACCGAGCTGCGGTGACATGGGGAAGGGGTCTTTCTTCCAGGATGAGGGCCAGGGGGCAGTCACTATCCCGGTCACCATGGCAGCGGCCCTGGGACAGCTTGAGGGACACAGGACTAGGCTCTTTGCCACACCAGCCACTGTGTCGAGCCCACACGTGTCACCACAATCATCCTCAGCCCTGAAACCCTGTGTCCTCACCCACCCTCACTGTCGTGGCACAGCCGGTGGACAAGTCTGGAGAAAGTTCCCCATGGCTCCCAGCACGTGCTCGGGTTGGCAGGTGGGGCCTCTGAAGTGCACCCTGAGCTGGAATGGCTTTGTTGTCTTCTCCCCCACCCACGGGGGGGCAGGTTCACCAGGCCGGCCCCCCAGCCAGGGCACCGGGGCCCAGATAGGGCAGAGGGAAAGATCTGACTCTCACCCTGACCCTCACCCTGACTCATCTTCACCATGACTCTGGCCCAGATTCTAACCCTCACCCTGTCACCTTGACCCAGATTCTGACCCTTACCCTGCCCTTCACCCTGACCCAGATTCTGACCTCAGCCTGACCTTGACCCTCTTCCTCTGTTCTCATTATCTCCCTGACCCTGATGCTCACCTTCACTCTGACCCTAAGCTTCACCCTGACCCTGACTCTCACTCTCATCCTCTCCTGCCCCTGACCCTGGTCATCACCCTCACTTTCACCCTGACCTTCACCTCTACTCTAACCTCATCATCACATGTGTCCCACCCAAGGACAAGGGACAGGACCTACTGGGCCAGCTTGCCTGCCACCCACCCCCCAGGGCTGCAAGCCCTTGTTCCTCTGATCGAGCAAGGCAGGGGGTACCACATGAGACCACTGATGCCCACCAGGGGTCTGAGCTCAGGGTGAGCATCCAACGGGCAGCTGGGACTTTGGGGCAACAGAGGTCTGGACCGCCTCATCTCATGCCTGTCTGCTCCCTTGGATGGGGGCCTTTCCTCTCAGGCAGACAACTTGGGGCAAGGGAGGGGGACACAGGGAGCTGCAGCCTTTGGGGGGTACTGGGGTCTGGGTGAGGAGGTACCTCAGGAGTTGTCACAGTATCAAAGCTGAGGGGTCCCAGGCCTCTCCTTGGGGCCCTTGGCAGCCCTACGTAGGCACCTATCGGTGGCTGAAGGTGCCCACGCCGGCCCGGGCAGGGGGCCTTCCAGGACTCCCCAGGCCAGCGCACCAGCACACACAGGGCAAACACGGGAGGTGTTTGAGGGCCCACAGGGGTGTGCCGGCCCCCCGGGGAGGCAGTGATAACGGGGCGGCTGCCACCAAGACTTTCCGACAAGGCCACAGCATCATGTCCTGATACAGCATCCAGGATCCTGTTTGGCCACCACTGCACCCAGCCAGCTGAGCGGCTACGGGGCTGAGAGCGTAGGGCAGGGTGGGCGCGGCAGGGGCAGGGCCGTGTCCCATATAAGGAGTCTGCCCGGACGGCCACTGAGTTCCAGGGGTGGCAGCAGCAGGACTGCCTGTGCCCGGCGGCAGAAGGGCGGTCCCGCGGTGGCCTCTCTTCTCGGCGACAGCGGCATCATGTTGGGGCTTCAGCTGCTGCTGCTGCTGTCCTACTGGGGAGCCCTGCTCGCCGCCGGTGAGTGGGCCGGACCGCGCCCAGGGGCCCTCGCAGGGAGTCTCCTGGCCTCCACACCTCACTGACGCAGTGGAGGCTAGAGCCCCCGTGGGCATTGATGAATGGGAGGCAGAAGGTGGGGCCCAGGCCGGGAAGCCCCTCCTGGATGCACACCTTCCCACAGGAGCCAGGGCAGTCCAGCCGGGCAGTGGCACCTGTTCCCTCTGTCCCAGCGAGCCGGGCACAGTGGCCGGGGAGTAAGGGAGCTTGGCGGGACCGGGCAGTGGCCGTGGGCACAGTCTTTTCAACAGTAGTGGGGCACAGTGAGGCCCGGGAGGCTGGGGCAGTGGGACAGCCTGATGCCTGCAGCCCACACATGGACATTCACTCAGTTTCAGCCCAGGGCCCACAGAGAGGTAGCCGGGGGGTGCGCCAGTCACAGGAGCGAGAACCCCTACACCCCCAGGCAGGGAGCCCCACGGCCTGGAGCAAGACCCGGGCAGAGGTGCGAGCGGGGCCAGCTGCAAAATGGACCTCAGTGTCCCGACTGTGAAGTAGGGGACACGGTCACCCCTTACGTCATCCCCTGTGAGGACGTAGGGGAGGAGTGTGGGCTCCTGTCAGCTCAGGGGGGCTGGATCACCCCACGCGTCCCCAGAGCCCACTGCCCCATCCCACACACGGATCCCAGTGCCGCTTGTGTCCTCCCCATTGGGGCACTGGGTTGCCAGCCAGCCCAAGGTTCTCCATGAAGCCCCTGTCACTGATGGAGCGCCAGGCCCTCGGTGTCTGGTCTACCTGACCTGCCTGAGTGCCCAGGGCTCTCTGTGCCCCCCAGCCCGGACACATGACCCTCTCTCGCCCTCAGGAGCCCTGTAGGAGCTGGCATGGTTAGGAAGCACAGTTAGCCTTTCCTGGGCCAAGGCACTCGGGGGCTGTGGGGCTCACCCAGCCCCTCCCGGCTGAGTCCAGCCCCCTTCTCTCCTACAAAGCCCTTCCATCACCACTCAGGCACTGCCTTTCCATAGAGGGGGGATCTGAGGGCCCTCCTGGTCTGGACTCTCCAGCCCACGGCCTGTCTTTCAATGGAGCCAGGTCCTGGGGATGGTGCTCAGGCCATCTCCCTGGGTCCCCTCCCTAGCCCTGGGAGCTCAAAGACCCCGGGGCCAGGGTGAGGGAGAGGGTGAGCGGGTCCCAGAGCCAGCTGTGTGCTGGGAGTGGGCTGGGAGGTACGGTGAGGGCTGGGACCCCGAGAGCAGGTAACAGGCTGGCAGCCTGGGATCTGAGCGCTCAGTGCTGCACGCCTGGGGGCAGGGCCATCTTCTGTCCCTCTGTCCGTCCATCACAGCAAACTGAGTTCTAACTGCACGGGGCAGGGAAGGTGGGAAGAAGCCAGTTAGCCTCCTGGGGCCACCGGTTCAACTGGCCGGGGGGCTGGGGGCCAGGAGCGGGCCTGGCTATGGGGGAGCCTGGCCAGGGCTAAACTCCGAGAGGGCAGGGACAGCGGCCTGCCAACCGTGCCAGAGGAACAGTGCATGACACCCATGGTCAGCCCGGGGCTGGGGGTGGCAGACAGCCTGCCCTGGAGGCCACATGGCACCGCTGTGGGCCAGCCCCACAGTCCCTCCTTAGAGCAGCAGAAGCAGCCCTGGGGCCAGGGGTACCCTGGCTGCTGTGGGGAGGGGTTGGGCAGTGCACAGCAGGACTGGGGAGGGGCATGAAAAGGAGCAGCTCACTGCGGGGAGCCCCTTGCCCAGTGGGGACCCCAGAGAGACCCAGTGGGGGTGGGGTGGAGTGGGCTAAGCACAGAGAATGGGGCGGGACTTGGCCTGTGAGTCCCTGAGTCTACAGGCATGGGGGTGGGGGCTGGGGTGGTGAGGGCATAGAAGGGGGGAGACAGAGGGGCCAGTGGTACCTCCCCCCGAAGGTGGGGAGACAGACAGGGAGGGTGGTGGGAAGGGGACACATCAGGACTCCACCCACCCCTGCCATTCTGTGTCCCACCCTGTCCCCACCCGGCCGGACCAGGTGGGTGGGGGTGGGGTGAGCTTCTGAGCCCACAGGTGCACCTGGGAAGGAAAGGCCCCTCCACCTGCTGGGACCCTGGGAGCGGGCAAGGCTGTGAGTGAGTGGCAAGTGGTCACCAGGCTCAGGCCCCATTCAAGGCAGCACCCACCACAAACACACACACACACACACACACACACACACACAGCCTGGGCCGGGGGGGACCAGGGGCAGCTGAGCAAGATAAACCTCAGGGGTCCAAGGGGACCCTGAAGTGTCCACACTGGGCCCAGGCCACCCACAAACAGGACAAGCTCCTGCTGAAAATGCCCAAGGGGCTGAGGTGTGGGCCCTGCCTGCTCGGTACTCAGACCTCAACAGGGCCCCCAGGAGCCCCAGGGCAGGGGCGCCGTCCACAACCAGATGAGCACTCGAGGAAGCAGGGCTGGGGTGTCGGGTTCCAGAGGAAGGGGAGAGCCAGGTCCCCTGAAACACCACCCAACCGGGCAGCAGGGGACAGTGACCGACTCCCACTTGAGGGCTACGTGGGGTCATGAGCCACCCCACCAGGTCTCCTGGGCACCCGTGATTCCTGTGGGTGCACAAGCTTGTGTGCACACACGTATGTGTACTGGAACGGGCCCCTTGGGAGCGGGTAGCTGGGCTCCCTTTCTCACCTCTGTATCCCAGCACTGGCCCATGGTTGGTCAGACATGCTGAGCCAATGAACGGACGAATGAGTGGCCGAGAGCAGGGACCAACCCAGATCTGCGAAGGCCCAGGCCCCAGTCCTGCTCCCCGGCCTGAGTGCTCCCACACGGAACACACCGGATGCTTGACTTCAGGCCACAGTAGGGCAGCAGACAGGAGGAGCCTTGTGGCCCTGTGCAGAGGTGGGGAGGCCCCGGCACTGACCTGGTCCACCCACACAGGTCTGAGTGACACCTCCTTCGCTGACCCAGGCCTGCGCAGGCTGAAGGACCCCTCACTCACAGGTGAGGCCCCTGTGGCTGGCCTGTCCTGCCCAGAGCACCAGTTTGGGACCTACAGGCGTGGGGGAGGGTACCAGAGCCCAGGTGTGCCCCTGCGTGTGGGCTCCAGGCTCACACAGTGCCCCTTGGTCTGGGGTCTCCATGGGCAGCTCTAGTCACAGAAGAGTGTCAGGGCCCACACCTGTGTGGGGGCAGGGCCTCAGGTGCCCAGGCCTGTCAGGGACACCTCTGTCTCCCTGGGCCTGTGGAGGTGCCCTGGGCCTGAACTGTACCTTCCTATCCTACAGACCCTGGGATTGGTGACACCTTGGACGACGAGAGCAGTCTTCGCCCCTCTAACACAGGTGAGGCAGACCCTGGCCCAGAGCGGGTCGGCGTGGGTGGCAGGCCTGGCACCACCACCCAGGGGTCACAGCTGGCTGGCAAGCAGGAAAGGGCCAAGTGACCCTGAGCTTTCTCTGCAGCAGAGGACAAGGGCTGGTGTTCCACATGGGGGGCTGGCCACTTCTCTACCTTTGACCACCACCTCTACGACTTCCTGGGAACGTGCAACTACATCTTTGCGGCCATCTGCAAGGGCGCCACCACCACCTTCAGCGTCCAGCTCCGGCGTGGGCCTGACGGGAAGACGGCCCGTATCATTGTGGAGATGGGTTCCTCTGTGGTCACGGTGCAGAACGGTGTAGTCTCCATCAAGGATGTGGGGTACAGTGTGCACTGGGCCCAAGGGCAAGCCAGGGTGCGGGGTGTGGCCTTGGGCACCCGGGCTGGAGGGGCGCGGGCCGGGCAGCCAGGCTGAGCCGCTCTCCCCCAGGTTGGTCAGCCTGCCCTACACCAGCAACGGGCTCCAGATCACGCCCTTTGGCCAGAACACACGGCTAGTGGCCAAGCAGCTGGAGCTGGAACTGGAGGTGCTCTGGGGTCCCGACGGCCACCTCATGGTAAGGACAGCAGGGCTGACGGGCGGGGCTGGGGGTGCACGCAGCTGGGATTCCAGGGGCCAGGCCCTTCCTGCGGACCCCTGGCCAGGAACCGGCCTATCTGGGCTTGGTTGGGGCCTCCGTTTTGCCACTTGGAAATGAGGAGGACTACTGAGCAAGCAGCCAGGCCCCCAGGGCCTCCCCTCCCCGCCCGGTCACGCCCCTCCCCGCCACGTCCCCCAGCGGGAGGCGCCGCGGGTGCCAGGCAGTGTTGGCCGTCCGCAGGTCCTGGTGGAGAGGAAGAACATGGGCAAGATGTGCGGGTTGTGTGGGAACTTCGACGGTGAGAAGACCAACGAGTTCCTGAACGAGGACGGTAGGTGGCGCAGGCGGGCGGCGCGGATGGCACGGCCCTGCCCCCGCGGGGCTGACCCCGTTCTGTGCCCTCAGGCAAGCTCCTGGAACCCCACAAATACGCCGCTCTCCAGAAACTCGACGACCCCAACGAGATCTGTGCCTATGAGGCCATCCCCCGGCCCCGGGCCCCACAGAGAGAGCACGTAGGTGCAGGGGTGGGCGGGGACCCCGCGGAGCCAGTCCCAGATGCCCCGCAGCGCGTGGGCGGACGGGCCTCCATGACGCAGTGCAACCTTCTGCCCAGGCCCGGACCTGCGCCCAGCTGCTGAGCCTGGTATCCCCCGCGTGCAACGTTTCCCGGGAGCCGTTTGTGCAGAGCTGTGAGGCCGACACGGCAGCGTGCGCCCAGCCTGGCCAGCGCAACTGCAGCTGCGCCACGCTCTCCGAGTTCTCCCGCCAGTGCAGCATGGCCGGCCAGGCGGTCAGCAGCTGGCGGAAGCCAGGCCTCTGCTGTGAGTCCTGGGAGGGAGGGGGCTGAGGGCCCTAGGCCCGGGTCTCCGGGCCGGAACGCCCCCGCTCCTCCTGACTGTGCAGCCCCTCCTGGGCCTGGGGCCTGCACAGCAGCCCCGCCCTCTCACGCCCTGTGCCCCCCCTCATGTGCCGCAGCTGTGGGGCAGTGCCCGGCCAATCAGGTGTACAAGGAATGTGGCACCGCCTCCGTCAGAACCTGTTCCAACCCCCGGCACAGCAGCCCCGGCTTCTGCACCTTTGGTTGCTTCTGTCCCAAAGGTGAGAGCCTCTACCACCTGCTCCCTGGGACCTTGCTCCCGAGACTCGCAGACAAGCCAAGAAGGGGCAGCAAAGACCCCGTCCCCGCAGCGAAGGGCTGCGGAGGAGGTGGGGTTTGAGCGGTCCTCACAGGCCACGGCCCCTCCTGGGGTCTGCCACTCGGCAAGAGCAGCGGCATGGGTCAGGGCACACTGTGGGGCCCACGATGTGGGCTGCAGCATGAGATCACAGGGCCGGGGGTGGCTCTGGAGGACTGGGTGACCCTGGTGGGGGCGCTGCCCAGCGGCAGGGCACTGGCACCGCGCAGCCCCAGGAAGCCCCTCTCCTGCAGGGACGGTCCTGGATGACCTTTCCAAAAACCAGACTTGCGTGCCGGTCACCCGGTGTCCCTGCATCCTCAATGGGGTGGTCTACGCCCCCGGGGAGGTTACATCATCGGCCTGCAGGACATGGTTCGTGCTGGGGCAGCCAGCGGGCAGTGTGGGGGCGGGAAGCCAGGCGGGGAAGTAGGGGAACATAGCGGGCTGCAGAGGAGCCAGGGAGGGTGGGGAGGGCCATGCCAGCAGGGCCATTGGCTTTAACTCCTCTCTGGCCTGGGTCCCCTCTCCCACCCCAGCCGGTGCACCGAGGGCCTCTGGAAGTGCACAGAGAGGCCCTGCCCTGGCCGCTGCTCCCTGGAGGGCGGCTCCTTCGTCACCACATTCGACGCCAGGCCCTACCGCTTCCATGGAACCTGCACCTACATCCTCCTGCAGGTAGCCTAGGCCGTCTGGAGCCCCTGAGCTCTGAGGCAGCAGAGGAGGGCAGAGGGGTAAGGGAGGCATCCCGGAGCCTCGAATCTGAACTGAGCCGCCCCTCCCCAGAGCCGCCAGCTCCCTGACGGGGGCTCCCTCATGGCCGTGTACGACAAGTCTGGTTACTCGCACTCCGAGACGTCCCTTGTCGCGATCATCTACCTGTCGGGCCAGGTACGTGCTGTCACCATCCTGGCCGGCTGCATCCTGCCCCGGGCCTTGTCCGGCACATCCGGGAGCGGCCCCAGCCTCCACCCCGCTCCTGGCCCCCCTGACGTGGTCCACCTCTCTCCAGGACAAGGTTGTGATTTCCCAAGACGAAGTGATCACCAACAACGGCGACGTCAAGTGGCTCCCATATATCACTCGTATGTTCTCGTCCCCCTGGACTGAGCCTCTGGGAGCTGCAGGCTGTGGGGCAGACAAACACTGAGCTGTCGTCCTTCTAGGCAACTTCACCATCTTCAGACAGACGTCCACCCACCTGCAGATGGCCACGCAGTTCGGCCTGGAGCTCCTGGTCCAGCTGCGCCCTGTGTTCCAGGCATATGTCACCGTGGGGCCGCAGTTCAGGGGCCAGACCCGAGGTGAGCCCGCAACCCAGGCCCTACCTGGCTAGGCCTGCCAGGTAGAGACAAGGTCCCATCATCTCCCCTATGCTAACCGTCCACATCCAGGGAGTTCAAGGTTCCCCAGCTGAACCTGGCCAGCCCCACTGGGGTGCAGCCTTTGGTAGTCTCTCGACCAGGGCCCTCCCTGGTCCGAGATGCCTGAGAGAGGAGCTTCACGGCCCCAGTGCCCGGCTGGACCTAGTGCACGTGAGGTGGGGTGGGGCAGGAACAAGGCGGGCATAGTGATGCGTGTGGGGCAGGACACACAGGGGCAGGGACGGGTGGCACACCCTCCCACCCACCACTCATGGCCCGGCTGGCCCAGGACTCTGTGGTAACTACAACGGGGACACGACTGACGACCTCACCACCAGCATGGGCATCGCCGAGGGCACTGCCTCGCTTTTTGTGGACTCGTGGCGGGCAGGGAACTGCCCAGCAGCGCTCGAGCGTGAGACCGACCCCTGCTCCATGAGCCAGCTCAACAGTGAGTGTCGTTGCCTGGCAGCCAGGGAGACGCCTGGGGAAAGGGTGCCCTGGGGCAGGGGACCCACGCCAGCCTGTCTCTTCAGAGGTGTGTGCTGAGAGCCACTGCTCGGTGTTGGTGAAGAAGGGCTCCGTGTTCGAGAAGTGCCACTCGGTGGTGAATCCCAACCCCTTCTACAAGGTGGGCATCTGGGTGGCCCATCTCTGCACCCTCAGGGATCCTGGATGGGTCAGGGGTCTGGGGTTCCCAGCATCCCCCAGAGGGTGGGCTGCCCCCAGCCACCCTCAGCAGCCCAGTGGCTACTCCCCTGCAGAGGTGCGTGTACCAGGCGTGCAACTACGAGGAGACCTTCCCCCACATCTGTGCTGCCCTGGGCTCCTATGCCCACCTGTGTGCCTCCCATGGCGTCCTGCTCGAGGGCTGGAGGGACAGCGTGGACAACTGCAGTGAGTGCCCCTTGGGGTCTCAGGGAGACCCTAGCATCACAAGGGTCTCCAGGGGTCCTGGGGGAACATCCCAGAGTCCCAAGGGATGGTCAGAGGCCCCAGGGTCTCCAGGAGTTCTCAAGGAGGATCTTAAGGTCCCGAGGGTTTCTGGGTTTTGAGGGGGGTCCTGAAGGGAGGCCCTGGGATTCTGAGCGTCGGTTCAAAGGTCGAGGGAGGGTCTTAGAAGTCATCAAAGAGGGTCCCGCAGTCCTGAGAGAGTCCTGAGGTCCTGAAGGAGGTCTCCAAGGGGTCTTGACTGAGGGTCCTGGGGCATGGAGCTCTGTAGGATTGTCCCCAGCCCTGGCTGCTCCCCTGACCACGACCCCTGCAGGGTTCTCCCTCACTGTCATGTCCCTGCAGCTGTCCCCTGCACGGGCAACAGGACGTTCAGCTATGACAGCCAAGCCTGTGACCGCACCTGCCTGTCACTGTCGGATCGCTCCCTGGAGTGCCACCCCAGCACAGTGCCCGTGGATGGCTGTAACTGCCCCGAGGGAACCTACTTGAACCACAAGGCGGAGTGTGTGCGCAGAGCCCAGTGCCCCTGCCAACTGGACAGCCACAAGTTCATCCTGGCCGGCCAGTCCACTGTCGTCGACGGCGCCACCTGGTGAGACCCGGCAGGTGGGGCCCATGCACTCCGGCCTGAGCACCCCCACACCCCAGGGCCAGGTGGCTCACACAACCTCTTTTGCAGCTATTGCATCAACGGGCGGCTGACCTGCCCAGGCAAGCCCCAGATGCTGCTGGGTATGCACTGGTGACAGGCACACCTGGGGCCGTGGGGGGTGGTGGCTTCCTCTGAACTTGTCAGACCACTGGCTCCCTCCTCCCCCCACAGCCACCTGCACAGCCCCAAAGACCTTCCAGTCCTGCAGCCAGTCCTCTGAGAGCAAGTTTGGGGCGGCCTGCGCCCCCACGTGCCAGATGCTGGCAACCGGCACCGCCTGTGTAAGGCTTGGCAGGGAGAACCCCCTCCCACAGTGGACGTACCCCAGTGGACACCCCCAAGGCCTCTGTGGCCCAAGGCCCCTCCATTGTGCCCTGAGAGGATTCCCACAAAACCCTCAGGAGAGATGGGGGCAGTGCAGGCACCCTGTGTCCATGCCCCGGCCCCGTGAGCAGGACAAGGGGGGAGGCTCAGGATTGGGAGAGCACCCTGAGCACCCCTGCAGCCCGGCTGGCAGCGGGAGGAGCGTGTGTCCCCGTGTGTGTCCCAAACACGCCGCCAGCCTGGGCAGGGCCGGCTGTTTGTGTGGAGGTGCACCCGGCCAGGATCCCTGAGGGAGGGGCAGCTCAGCCCAGAGAAAGGCCTCTGCCTGCAGGGGTCCCAGAACAAGGGTGGGCAGTGGCGGTGAGTGCAGCCCCAGAGTAATGCTGGGGGTCCCTGGAGGGGCCCAGAGGCCAGGCCGCCACAGTCAGAGCAGCCCTGCTTCCCCAGGTCCCCACCAAGTGTGAACCCGGCTGCGTCTGTGCTGAGGGCCTATATGAGGATGCCAACGGGCAGTGTGTGCCCCCCGATGACTGCCCCTGTGAGTTCGCTGGCACCTCCTACCCCCGGGGTGCTGAGCTCAGCACTGACTGTCAGACATGGTAAGCCCATCCCTGTTCCTTGGCCCAGGGGCACCGTGAGCCACAGGGCCTCTGAGGCGGATGCTGGGCTGGGCAGGGGGCGCCTCAAGTCAGGAGACCCTGACCCGGCCAGGGCCCTGGCCTCCCCGGGGACGTGGGCCCGGCCCCCACCCATCCGGCCTCCTCTCCCCAGCATCTGCGAGCGGGGCAAGTGGGTCTGTGAGCAGAGCGCACACTGCACAGCCACCTGCAGCCTCTACGGGGAAGGCCACGTCATCACCTTCGACGGGCAGCGCTTCGTCTTTGACGGCAACTGCGAGTACACGCTGACCACGGTACGGCCGGCCCCGGGGCGGGCTGCGGGCGGCGGGCTGCGGCCCGGGCTCCTCCCAGCACCCTCTCCTCCCCGCAGGACGGCTGTGGCGCCAACAGCTCGCGGCCCACATTCAAAGTCGTCACGGAGAACGTCATCTGCGGCAAGTCGGGCGTGACGTGCTCCCGGGCCATCAAGCTCTTCCTGGGGGTGAGCGCCAGCACCGTCCCACCTTCAAGGCTCAGGCCCCTGCTGCACCCTCCTCCCTGTGTCTGCGCTGCTGCCTAGCGGGCGCCGTGGGGTCCTGACAGGCGTGGCTCCTCTCCGGCCGGGGGCCTGTGCCCACTCAGCGCCCAGGACACGTTGGAGGTTCGGTCTCCCGGAGGCGCCCCGTGCCGGGCAGAGGCTTCTCCTGGAGGCCTGAGCCACAGCCCCGGGCATTTGCGAGGGCCCCTGGGGCCCCGGCGACAGGCTCCGAGGGAGGGACCCCAGGCTGGCCCTAGGGACGCGCAGGCGCCCCTCGGAGACAGCTGCGGGATGGTGGGCCGGTGCGCGGGGCGGGCGCAGCACACTGGCAGCCGCTGACCGCCGTGCCCCACAGGCCCTGTCCATCGTGCTGGCGGACAGGACCTACACGGTCAGCGGGGACGACCCCCAGGTGAGCTTCCAGGTGCGGCCCGGCTCCCTGAACCTCGTGCTGGACATCCACATCGCAGGCAAGTACAACCTGACGCTCACCTGGAACAAGCACATGACGGTCTTCGTCAGCGTCTCGCGCGCCTCCCCGCAGGTAAGCGCGCTGCGGGCGGGGCGGGGCCTGGCGGGGCCGGGGACGGGGCCTGAACCGCGCCACGCCCCCAGGACGCCTTCTGTGGCTTGTGCGGAAACTACAACGGGAACATGAAGGACGACTTTGAGACGCGCAGCAAGTATGTGGCGTCCAGCGAGCTGGAGTTCGTGAACTCGTGGAAGGAGAGCCCGCTGTGTGGAGACGTGAGCTTCGTGCAGGACCCCTGCAGCCTCAACTCCTTCCGCCGCTCCTGGGCCGAGCGCAAGTGCAGTATCATCAACAGCCAAACATTCGCGGCCTGCCACAGCCAGGTGGGGCAGGACGCGGCCGGGGTGGGGAGAGGGACTGAGGAGGGGATCCCAAGCCCAGCCCCCCACCACGAGAGGATTGCACCCCCAGCAGGCGCCCGAGAGCCGACGCACGTCGGGTGTCTGGCACGGGCGCATTCTCACTGCCACACTCACTCCCACCAATACCCAGTGGTTAGGTGTCCCATCCCCAAGGTGGGCAGCAGTCCACCATGGGGCTCAGAGGCTGGTGGGGGGCACAGGTGAGCAAAGGCAAGGTGCATGCTGGGAGGAAAAGGTGGAGACGAAACAGAGGGTACCCGGAACACTTTAGTCCTGGGCCCTACGCCGTGTCTCACAGATGCCAAAGCGCCCTGCAGTAGGGACGTTCTCTACCTTGTAGGGTGTTCAGCAGCATCCCCACCAAACACCAGGGGCTCCCTCAGACAAGAGCACTGCAGGGGGCCCGCCAAGTGGCCTCTCCAGGCAAGCGAGGTGCCAGAAGTCCGGTGCAGGCTGGAGAGCACTGGGCGTGAGCCTGGGGGGAGTTCTCTGTGGCCACCCTGAGCAGGGCCAGGAGCACAGGGTCTTTCTTGGGCATCAAGCTCCCGTGAGTGGCTCACAGTGCACTGGGAGGAGTGGGTGACACACACCCTCCTCACAAAAACTCAACACTCACCCACAGGTGTACCGCATACCCTACTATGAAGCCTGTGTGCGCGACACATGTGGGTGTGACACAGGTGGGGACTGTGAGTGTCTGTGTGACGCCGTGGCCGCTTACGCCAAGGCCTGCCTGGACAAGGGCGTATGCGTGGACTGGAGGGCCCCTGACTTTTGCCGTGAGTGTCTTGGAGCGGGTGGGAGCGCGTGGCCAAGGTGTGTCACTCCTGCCATGCCAGGGTGCCAGGGCCCCTCAGGGGTGCTCTGAAAGGGGCCCTGCCCCTCACATTCTCGTGTGGGCTCCTTGCCCTGCCTTGGGCCCGGGCTGCCCAAGGGCCAGAGCAGCATCCTTCAGCCCAGCTCAGGCAGGGCCAAGAGCACCTCAAGTGACCACCGGCATCCTTGCTTCCTTCCCAGCTGTGTACTGTGACTTCTTCAACAGCCACACGAGCGTGAGTGGAAGCAGTGAGTACCAGTATACACAGGAGGCCAGCTGCACGTGGCACTACCAGCCCTGCCTGTGCCCCAACCACCTGCAGAGTTACCCGCACGTCAACATTGAGGGTACGAGGCGCGACACGTCTGGTCAGCCAGCATCCCCTTTTCTCATGTGGGCACTGGCCTGCCCTGGGTTACCGAGAGGACTGTGAGCAAAGCATCCAGCCCTGTCCTCCAGGGCAAGGAGTGAGGTCTGAACACAAATTGTAGTCATGGCTGGAGAAACAGAGCCCCTCCAGGGTGGTGGGCAAGAGGGAGGCCGGGCAGGCAGGGGCAGGCTTCCGCTTCAAGCAGGGGTCAGCAGGCACCAGAAGGATGAGGGCGGGAAGCGGGAGACCCAGGCAGCAGCGACGGCTGGTGCAAAGACCCTGTGGCAGGAGTGAGTCTGGGGCCACAGAGCCTCCAAGGGCCAGGGCAAGGGGGCGAGGAGCAGGAACAGACACAGGGCCAGGCCGCAGTGCAGGGCCTTGGCCAGGCCTGTGGCCTCTGCTCGGAGGGCTGGTCCCAGCACAGGAGGGTGTGAGCTGCCCTAGCTCGGCTGGTGACGAGATTGACGGATGAGGGTCTCTGCAGAGGCCCAAGCAGGATGATCCCAGATGGGATGGGATGAGTCAGCGTGCGTAGCCTCAGTGGAGATGGGGGTGCCTGTGTGGGGTGCTGTAAGCAGAGGCTGGGCTGGAGCTCTCTCTTGTGGGAGCCCTTGGCCTTGATGGGGTTTGCAGTCCCAGGAAGGGAGGCGGTGACCAGGACCCAGGCTGGGCATAGGGGTAGGGGGCTCAGGTGGCTTGGGGAGGCTAAGTCAGCTGCGAAGGGCTGCCCAGAACTAGGCCAGTTCAGGAGCCTTGGAGTTAGATGAAGTGGGGTGCCACTAGAATGGGCAGAACTGGGCATGAGGCAGGACAGGAGGCAGGAGGGCGGGGAGGGGCGCGCACTGGCCCTGCACCCCCAACACTGGTGTTCTCTGCCTTAGGCTGCTATAACTGCTCCCAGAACGAGTACTTCGACCCCGCGACGAATGCATGCGTGCCATGTGGTGAGTAACGTAGACCTGCCTGGTCAGTGCCCAGCAGGCACTGGGCAGGCAACCCCACAAGGGACACTGTGGTCTCGTCCTCCTCTCCCGGCCCCACCCAGCTGCTCCCACTCACAGCCGCCGTGTCTGGGCTGCAAAGGGTCGTCCTCCGCGAACCACCTCCCACCACCAGGGAAGGTTGCAGCTGCCACAAGTGGCTTTGGGTGCAGCCCCACAGCGCTCTCTCGCGGCCGCATGGGAGGGGCACTCCAGCGGGTACACAGGGGCCGGAGAGAGGCTGGAGAGGCTGGAGGGGAGAGGCAGAGGGGCCCCGGGCAGGCTGCGGAGGAGCAGGGCAGTCCCTTCCGCCGCAAACTGACCAGTTCCCTTCCCTTGCAGCCCTGCCCACGACACCGTCACCGCCCATCACAGGTGATTGCAAGCGCGCTAGGTGCCCAGGTGACACAGGGGTGGGGCTCGCTCCCGGGAGCTCTCCCCTGGCTCAGCTGGACCCCCAGGACCAGCGGAGCCTCAGAACCCTTCCCTGCTACCCATGCAGCCCCGCGGGCAGGGGGAGGGCTGGGCATGCACCTGGGCTGCGCAGGTGCGCGGCACCACATGTGGATGCTGGGTGAGGGGCCCGCCAGGGGTAGACATAGGCCGAAGGCGCAGCCACGGGACTCACCCTACTGGCCGGCCAAAGATACCATGCGGGTGCCGTGTGTGAGTCGCCAGCGACGGCAGCCAGGGCAACAAGGCCGAGCTCCGAAGGCAGGAGGGCACTCCTGCCCTCCCCTCCGAGAAGCCCGCTGTCTCCCCTGCCTTCTGGGTAGCCGCCACTTTGTTGGGGTGGGGGGACTGGTGGTTTCCTGAAAGGAAATTTTTGACAGGATGAGCTGGCCATGGGAGGTGGATGCTCCCCAAAGCTGGAGGGTGTCCAAGTATGCCTGCTGTAAGGCCAGGCTGGGGGTCGATACTCCATCGCTAGGCCCACACAGCAGAACCCCCAGGCCTGGGGCCATGAGGAGACTGAGGGCAACCAGGGAGGCATAGGCGGTTCCCACAAGGTCACTGCCCAACTCCTGAGGTCAGGCGGCTGGCCAGTCCCATGCTAACATGGCCAGCAGGGAGGGCTTCTCAAACCAGGAGGCTCTAGGCCACAGGCTGGACCTTCAGCCCTGACTAGGGAAATGGTGACAAGGCCTCAGGGTAGCCTTGGAGGAAGCGTTGGGGGTGCACTGGGAGGCACTGCAGTGTGTTGGGGGTGATGTTGGGTGACAGTGGACTGTGTTGGGGTGTGTTCACTGTCACAGTGTGGGCTCTCCTCTGCAGAACCACCTCAAAGCACTACAGCCATCACCCTGAGGGCCACATCAGCTCCAAGACCCACATCTACGGTGCCCACAGTGACCCATGCCACAAGCCAGCCAACGTCTCCCCCCACCATGGTCACACAGACCACAGCTCAGGCCACAGCGCACACCACACCACTTACAGCAACTACAGTGACGTTGGAAGGGACCTCGGGGACACTGCCAGGTGAGTCCAAGCAGTCCACATATCCACCCAGCACCCCAACACTGCATGACAAGCAGGCCCCATGGCAACTGGCCAAGCTGCCTCAAGAGCACACAGTAGAATGGGGCCTTGGGGCCATGCACAGATAAGCCCCTACCTTGGACACTCGTCCCCTAGCAATGCCCACAACCCAGCAACAGGACCCAGTCCCACACGAGCACAATGCCACCTGCTGCACTGAGGCCTCAGCTGGGCACCAGCTCCACCAGCAACTTCAGCCATGGCCCCGGAGCCGGCCCAGGGGGGCTTCAGGGGAAGCAACAACTGTGAGAAAGGGGACCAGCGTGGAGCCACACATGCTGTCCAGATGCCATGAGCTGAGGAGGCAGGCCACAACAATGGAGGATGGGCTGGGGCAGAGAAGGACCCAAGAGATCAGAAGGGATGGGACATGGGTCCCTATGACAGCAGTTCCACCAGAAAGAGGTTCAGACAGTCAGAGAAGGTGCACCTCAAAGAGGGAGCAAGCAGGGCCCTAACCTGTCTCAAAGAAAGGGAGACAAGGACCAAGAGAGAGGACAGGTAACAATAACAGCGTGCAGGAGTAGAAGAGCCAGTGACCGGCAGGAGGGGACAGATGTTGGGACCAGAAAAGAACAGGCCCCAAGATCACAGGGAAACACACACAAGGATGCAGGGTCAGGTGGGAGGAAGGACACAGAGAAGAACACTGACAGCAACCATGTCTCCTGCAGCACTATCCAAACCAACGAAGACAACAGGCACAACGACCCCCGAGACCACACTTTCCACTCGGGTGCCACCATTTTCATCCTCCTCAGTGACACTAACCTCTCACAGAGTTGTCACCCCAACCAAAGAAGTCACTGGGCCGACCACCTCCATCCCCAGGCCAAGTGGCCCTCTGCCTACCACTACCACCCCATACACAGGCCACACACCCTCAAGCCCACCACCGGCCAAAACCACCAGTAGCATTGCAACCCCACTGACCTCCATCAGCACCAGGAAAACCACTAGTTCCCTGGTGTCACACTCTCCCCCAACAGCACCTCCCGCAACCGTGACACACTCTCCCACAACCATCACCCCGAAGCCCACTACTAGAAGCACTGGGACCCCGGTTGCACACACCACCTCTTCCGCCACCCACAGCCAGACTCACACTCCCTTCACCACACTCTCTGTACCCACAGTTTCTACCTCCTCATCTTCACACAGCACGGGTCCCCCCTCAGGAACATCGTTCAAGACCACCTTTTCAACACCAACAAACCCCGAGACCACACTATCCACTTGGGTGCCACCATTTTCAACCTCCTCGGTGACGCCGACCTCTCACAGATTTGTCACCCCAACCAAAGAAGTCACCAGCCCTTCCACCTCTACCCCCAGGCCAAGTGGCCCTCTCCCCACCACAGCCACCCCACACACAGGCACAGGGCCCACACCCTCAAGCCCACCACCGGCCAAGACCACCAGTAGCACTGGAACCCCACTGACCTCCATCAGCACCAGAAAAACCACTAGTTCCTTGGTGTCACACTCTACCTCGACAGCACCTCCCGCAACCGTGACACACTCTCACACCACAATCACCCGGAAGCCCACCATTAGTGGCACTGTGACCCCGGTTGCACACACCACCTCTACTGCCACCCACAGCCAGGCTCACACTCCTTTCACCACGGTCCCTGCACCCACAGTTTCTACCTCCTCATCTTCACACAGCACGGGTCCCCCCTCAGGAACATCCCTCAAGACCACCTTTCCAAAACCAACACACCCCGAGACTACATTATCCACTCAGGTGCCACCATTCTCAACCTCCTCGGTGACACCAACCTCTCACATAGTTGTCACCCCAACCAATGAAGTCACCACCCCTTCCACCTCTACCCCCAGGCCAAGTGGTCCTCTCCCCACCACTGCCACCCCACACACAGGGCCCACCCACTCAAGCCCACCACCGACCAAGACCACCAGTAGCACTGGAACTCCTCAGACCTCCATCAGCACCAGGAAAACCACTAGTTCCCTGGTGTCACGCTCTCCCTCAACAGCACCTCCCATAACCATAACACACTCTCAAACCACCATCACCCCGAAGCCTACTACTAGTGGCACTGGGACCCCAGTTGCACACACCACAACGTCTGCCACCCAAAGCCAGCCTCACACTCCCTTCACCACGCTCTCTGCACCCACTGTTTCTACCTCCTCATCCTCACACAGCACAGGTCCCCCCTCAGGAACATCCTTCAAGACGACCTATCCAACAGCAACACACCCCGAGACCACACTATCCACTCGGGTGCCACCATTTTCAACCTCCTCGGTGACGCCAACCTCTCACAGAGTTGTCACCCCAACCAAAGAAGTCACCAGACCTTCCACCTTGACCCCAAGGCCAAGTGGCCCTCTCCCCACCACTGCCACCCCACACACAGGCACAGGGCCCACACCCTCAAGCCCACCACTGACTAAGACCACCAGTAGCACTGGAACTCCTCAGACCTCCATCAGCACCAGGAAAACCACTAGTTCCCTGGCATCACGCTCTCCCTCAACATCACCTCCCGCAACCGTGACATACTCTTCCACCACCATCACCCCTAAACCCACCACTAGCGGCACTGGGACTGCGGTTGCACACACCACATCATCAGCCATCCACAGCCAGCCTCACACTCCTTTCACCATGCTCTCTACACCCACGGTTTCTACCTCCTCATCTTCACACAGCACACGTCCCCCCTCAGGAACATCCTTTAAGACCACCTTTACAACACCAACACACCCTGAGACTACATTATCCACTCAGGTGCCACCATTTTCAACCTCCTCGGTGACACCAACTTCTCACAGATTTGTCACCCCAACCAAAGAAGTCACCGGCCCTTCCATCTCTACCTCAAGGCCAAGTGGCCCTCTGCCCACCACTGCCACCCCACACACAGGCCCCATACCCTCAAGCCCACCACCGACCAAGACCACCAGTAGCACTGGAACCCCACTGACCTCCATTAGCACCAGGAAAACCACTAGTTCCCTGGTGTCACACTCTCCCTCGACAGCTCCTCCTGCAACCATGACACACTCTCACACCACCATCACTCCTAAACCCACCACTAGTGGCACTGGGACCCCAGGTGCACACACCACCTCTTCCACCACCCACAGCCAGACTCGCACTCCCTTCACCACACTCTCCATACCCACAGTATCTACCACCTCAGCTTCATACAGCACAGGTCCCCCATCAGGAACATCCTTCAAGACCACATTTCCAACACCAACACACCCCAAGACCACATTATCCACTCAGATGCCACCATTCTCAACTTCCTCGGTGACTCCAACCTCTCACATAGTTGTCACCCCAACCAATGAAGTCACCACCGCTTCCAGCTCTAGTCCCAGGCCAAGTGGCCCTCTGCCCAGCACTGCCACCCCACACACAGGGCCCACACACTCAAGCCCAGCACCGACCAAGACCACCAGTAGCACTAGCCCTCCACTGACATCCATCAGAACCAGAAAAACCACTAGTTCTCTGGTGTCACACTCTCCCTCAACAGCACCTCCCATAAATGTGACACACTCTCACACCACCATCACCCCAAAACCAACTACTAGTGGTACTGGGACCCCAGTTGCACACACATCATCTGCCACCCACGGCCAGCCTCACACTCCCTTCACCACACTCTCTGTACCCACGGTTTCTACCTATTCACCTTCACACAGCACGGGTCCCCCTTCAGGAACAGCCTTCAAGACCACATTTCCAACACCAACACACCCCAAGACTACATTATCCACTCAGGTGCCACCATTCTCAACCTCCTTAGTGACACCAACATCTCACATAGTTGTCACCCTAACCAACGAAGTCACCACCACTTCCAGCTCTACCCCCAGTCCAAGTGGCCCTCTGCCCACCACTGCCACCCCACACACAGGGCCCACACACTCAAACCCACCACCAACCAAGACCTATAGTAGCACTGGAACTCC